GATCTGCTTATATCCACTGGTGGAGCAGGAAATTCAACTTTTATAACCTGTGGTCGGTGTTTATATCCCGAAGGAAGCACTTGATAAGTGTCAGCCATCATACCGTTCTCCCATAGCCCTGCGGGGAGAAAACCAGCATGACGTACCATCGCCGTTCACCACAACCGTCTCCGCCTTACACGTATTCTCCAGCTGCTTCTGCAGTGAATCAGCATCAAACTCCCCCACTACTTCGCTGACTGTGAAGCTCGACTTGATGACACCGTCCTGTTTCAGGACTCGCTCTCGTAGTCGCGGTGCTGATCTCCGGTCACTGAAGTCTAGCACATGCACACCGGGCTGAGAGACGAGGATGTAGAAATCTGATGGACACGAGGAGAGGTCTGACGAGACCGTAGAGAGGAGAGAGCTCGCGGATTGCAGTTGGGAGGATTGTGTTTCGAAGCTGGAAGTGTTAACTTAGCTGTTGACTGCGCTTGTCGATGCCTTGTTTGCTTACCTGTTGGTCGAGAAGAGGAAGAAGGGAGAGGTGTTTCTGAACGCATCAACAGAAGATGCGATGGCGCCGAGGGCCAGAAGCCCACAGGTCTTTAGTTGCATGGTGATGATGGTGGTGGTTACGTCCGTTGGAAGCTGAAGCTCTATTCAATCAATTAGTTTCACGGTTTCAACTTCGTCTTTCATCCATTTGATAGCATAGTCACGTGATATTACACAGCTGGGTTAGGATGAGATAGTATTTTCGACTATTCAATTCTCGAGGTCAGATTTGCATATGTAATGCAATGGAAGTGGTAGCTGGGACTATTAATTATAGATAGTGTAGGAGAACTCTCCATTTATGTTTATCTTAATGGAGATACCTATGGAGTACGCCCATAACTTCGCCTTGCGCCTATCGGGAGATATTATGACAAATGTATGTTTTAGAGTACCAGGGGAGTCTGTATACACTCAATACATATAGCACACTATGCATGGCTTGTCGAAGTAAGTAACCAGGGCCTATGCATATTCCCAAGTTCCACATTCTATTGCCATATATGGCCTTGGAAGGATATCCGGTGCTCCTGATATGTGGTTGTTGTGGTTATAGATTGTAAAGAGAAGGGTTTTTATGTATCGAAACTGTAGCTGGAGTCTGCAATTCTTTGAAACCTGCGCCCTTCTTCATAGCCTCCATAAATACGGCGTTAATTATCTTCTGGCTGCCAGTATAAAATGAACAAAGTAAGGAGACGAACGGAAATAAGAAAGTAGAATCCGCCAAGCTTTACGTCAAAAGCGCCAAGCCAGAGATAAAAATGCGAGTTTAAATATTTATCAAACTCCAGACAACCACAGATACCAAAAGTTGCTTTTTTTTTTATGAAAGTCCCTGTCTAACAGGCTGCTCAGCTATAGAAGAGGCTAATTGTCAAGGCCTAACTAGCACAATATATTTAATCATGCGCCCACCTACCAAAAAGAGGAAGATTGCTGCACCTGCACGCATAGAGGAAATATCATTCAACCCAGAATCCCGCAAAGAGTACTTGACAGGATTCCACAAGCGAAAAGTACAGCGCGCCAAACGTGCCCAAGATGCTGCCGAGAAAAGAGCAAAGGAGGAACGGAGGGAGGCGCGGAGAAAGGTGACACCGCTACCTACAATTTGGCTGTCAGCATAGCTAACAATGGAGATAAGATCCGAGAAGAACGAAAGGCAGAATTCGAAGAAGCGTTGAAACGACATAGGGCCGAGATGGAGGCATTGAATGGATTTCCTGCAACCATGGAAAGGATCAGACAATTCCGAGCAAGAAGAAGGCGATGAGGAAGAGTGGAATGGGATCGTCGAACCTCCACCAGTTGACTATGAAGCGGAATATATCGACGAGGATAAATATACTACTGTGACGGTGGAGGAGATAGAAGCTACGAAGGGTGGACTAGTTACGCGAAGGGATGGGGCGGAGAAGTCTACGGATACGGATGAGGAGGGCGGGGAGGAGGGAGCTCAAGTGACAAATGGTGCAAAGCCGAAACAAAAGACATCACGGGCGAAGGATAACCCAAATAAAGATATCAAGAAGAAACGGAAGCGGAAGCGGGACTTTAAGTATGAGAGTCCGCTGGAGAGGAAGATGAACAGGGCCAAGGAGCGTGGGAGGAAGAAGAAACAGGCCGAGGCGAGAAAAGCGAAGAAGGGATGATGCTGGATATATCATTTTTGATTAGGACAACATATAGACAAAATAAGTGAGTGTACTCGAATTGTCGACACAAGTTATGTACTTTGATATTGGAACATCAGCGGTGAACGGTACTAAAATATATTAAGGTGAGCGAAGTTGGGTGAAAGACAGAATTAAAAAAAGTTGGACGATCGGTAGGATATGACAAAGGATGAAGGTATGTGAGAAGGGAAAAGAAAGGGACTTTCGACAAGTGTTTATTTTATGTTGTGCACTCTAAAGCTCTAGACATCGCTGATAGACCGCTCCAGCTCCTTGAGCTCTTCCTTGACGGCGGCGTACTGCTTCGACATCTCCTCGTACTTGGTCTCCCATTGCTCGCGTGTGGCCTCGAGAGCCTGCACTTTACGCTCGAAGTGTCCGGCCTTGACGTCCGTTTGGCGCAGCCTACGCAAGATCAGTCAGTAAACGGCCCCGTACACAAAGAGCAGATAAGACGGAGGCAAGCATACTTCTCGTTGGTCTCTCTGAGGGTCTTGTCGGTTTGCTCGGCCTCTTCCTCCATAAGCTGTATACGGCGCTGCAGGGCCTCATTCTGTGAACTGTCTTGAGCCGCCTCGCTCGCTTTGGCTTTGGCCTCCTTGAGTGTGGCTTCGAGATTCTCTACCCGCTCCTCAAGCAGCTGGTTCCGGTGGGTGAGTGAGGTTACCTCTTGTTCTTTGGCTAGGTTCTCCTGCTCTAACTCTTTGATGCGGGCTTTCTGTTCGCTGAGCTTTGTCTGACCGTCGTCGATCTCGAGACGCATGCTCTCGATTTTCTGCCATCGTCGTCATGATTAGCATGGTTACTTGCTGTCCGCGTGGAAGGGAAAAACCGTTGGTGGGAAGTGGCATGGATGAGATGTTTTGGGAATTTCCCCCCTGGCTGCCCCGCGGCGGTGGGAGACAAACATACCCGCTTGATGCCGTCCATGGTGACCGGTGTGGGTGGTTCGAGGTGTGTGTTGGAATAAATGTGTCTTGGAGAGGGTTTCTGTGTATTTATCTGCTTGTAAAATAAATCTGGTTGCCTGGTGTTGCTTTTGACCGTTGGGAAGGGCAGAGTAGATATGAACGATATAAAGGGAGACTAAAAGGAGAGAGCTTTGGCCTTGAAACCTAGGGAAGCTTACGTAACATGTATACATATCACGTGAGACATGTTTCTCTTTTTGCGGTTGCTGGGGCGATAAGAAGGAAAAACAAGGACGAGGGGAGCGAGAAAGCGAGAAAGAGAGACACGGATGAAAGAAGATGAAGACACAGGCCCATCGCGTTCACAGACACTACCGCACGACCACGAGTACTGCCGGCTGACGAACGAGCTTAAAAGATGTTGTCCATCAGAGGACAGGGCCAGGAGAACCTGGTGAACGCGCACCAGACGGCTGCGGCCTCGAAGCCATTGAACCAGGGAGCGCGTGTCCTGCCACCGAAAACCCCAGGGAAGACGCTGCCAAAGACACCATTCAGACTGCCTCTTCACGATGAGAACAGACCGCTTACGTTTGGAAAGGGATTGGGAGCGGGGGTTGGCAAAGGCATACTGAAAGGACAGGACGAGAATGCGGTTCAGCAGGGCAAGGGGAAAGGCGTGGAGAAGAAAGTGTTGGCCACTCCGATGGGTGAGTCCGTTTGATGCGTGACGGAGTATGAGACGTGCTGGTGAAAGGAGTATACTGACTGGTGGCTGAAGGCACGACACGGGCGCCACTTGGGATGAAGACGACCAATGCAAAGGCGCGGGCATTCCAGACTCCAGCCCCTACTCTGCCTATAGGGACAATCAAGCAAAGGAGTGCCAAACGGGGGTCGTCTCGAAAGGTTAAGAAGTCTACACCCTTGCCTGTACCGGCCACCCAGGAGGAGACGCTGTCTGTGGATGATGAGCGGGATATTGAATATATGCCACCAAAGCCAAAGCGTGAGTCGACCGTGTTATTGTTGGTCTGTTGAGGGTACTAACATGGGGTAATAACAGCTCTTCCTGACGATGATGGATATATTACATATGACTCTACGTTTCCACATCTCAAAGGGATCAATCTCGCTCGTGGGTGGGAGAAGCTATACGAAGACAACACCGTGGGCCCCGATGGACTCACGGCTAAGCAGCGAAAGGAGAAGGAGCTTGACGATGCGTATAACAAGCAGATTGATGCCCTGATCCAGGCTCAGATCGATAGTATTGGCGATCTTGGATTAGAAGGGGAGGCCAGTGATGGAATCGAGAGCAGGCTTACCAGCAGACCTACCAGCAGGGCTTCGAGCAGAGCCTCGAGCAGAGCCTCAAGCAGAGCCACAAGCAGAGCAACGACCAGATCCGATCCACCTGAGAGTTCAGTATCTACTCTACGATCAAAGAGTGCAGCACAGGCTCTGGCAATGGACCTGAAAGGAAGTGTACGGACCAGGTGTTCACCTAGGTTAGCTGCGAAAGCTGCTGCAAAGGCTGCTGCATCGAAGACAACAACGAAGAAGACTATTGCACCGACGAACCCGTCTTCAATGCGTCATACAGCAGCTGTGGCCAGCTCCAGGAGCACCCTGGGCTACTCCAAGGGACGGGACATGTTGGCTACTCTGCAAGAAGAGTCAGGTCTGGCCAAGGCCGGAACGAAGACGGGAAAGAAGAAGACGAAAGCCGGGAAGGAGAAGGAAGCGAGAAGTATCCTCTCCCCCGAGCGGTACATGCAACTCTACGGCCCACCGCCGTTTGGCAGTGAGATGTGGTCTCGTTGTAAGATTGCTGGGTATTTTGACGAAGAAGTAAAGACCACGGAAGAACTGTTGGAGATGGACAGGCCGGATGAAGTATACGTGGAGGACGAGGAGGCTGCTAATTTCCAGCTTACTCTTTGAAGCCCCTTTTTTCGTGTATATATTTTTTTTCTTTATGGCTTCGGGGCGTCTAAGGCGCAGTTATCTTTTTCTGGCACTGTATATTATGCATTCTATACCCTCACCAGCAAAAAAAAATTCTTCATCCTTCATCTTACTTCCTAACATCGTCTGTCTGAAGATACCTAAATCAAGGGTCCCATGGTGGAGATTTTGTGCGTAAATCTCTTACTAGTCTCTGCGAACTAATCTATGGACTAATATGTAAGTCTTCCCTTGCCCCCTGAATCTTCAGCAAGCTCCGACATGCATGTGCTGGCCCGCCAAGCGCCCACCACGCACTAACTCATCATCTGGCATTGAGAACTTCTTCAGGCTTCGCTTTGAACTTGCCTGTACGCATACACAAAACTTCTCCAGTGACGGGGAGTTATTCTGTCAATTGACTTGTCCCTTCGTCCCGCCCCCCCATTGCGCCCTCTCACCCGCCTGGTAGTTGGTGCATCATCCTCGTAAACCCCCCCAAGCACCTTTGCCAAAGCTAAACCATGGCGAAGAAGTCGGTCAACCAGGAGGCAGACGCTGGTGTTGAGGGATTCGAGTTCATCGAAACCCCGGCGGCGTCGTGCGTCAGCCCTAATGTTGAGCCATGCGGCGTCAGGACGACAGAGGTACGTTGTTTGATTGCATGTTGATATCAACTATACATCTGCTGCTCCCGTATACGTGGACAGAAGAATGCCTCTGCCAAAAGAAAAAAAAAAAAAGCCAGTGACATGTAACTGACGGGAACGATGGAATAGTATCCTGCGATCAAAAACGCTCCTCTACCCGCTGATGCAGCTGGTTCTGACTCGTTCTCCAACACTCTTCTCATCTCCCTGCTTGTCCTGATACCTGCGTACCTTGCCCGCCAGCTCTCTGGAGGGCTATGGACCACCCTCTTCCTCGCCGTCTTTACGACCATCCCTATTCTCATGGTCTACTGGACCGTTGCATCTACCATCTCTCCACGCAAGAATGAGAAGGCCAAATACCCTGGCCGTCCTGTCGAGCATTATCTGAACTTCCTTAGCGAGCATGACCGTGCCAAGTACCATGGCAAGTCCAAGGTGCCCATGGAGACGTTCCATGAGATGTACTTTGATGGGCAGGTGGACTTCAAGGGCGATGCATTGGAGATGTTGGAGTACAGACATGACTGGGCTCAGTTCAGGTTTACCTGGAGCTTGTTCAAGTATTTCTTGACCGGCATGATGCCAGAGGTTATCATGCATACCAGGAGCCAGGGTCAGCATTAACCTTCCCCCCTTTATATAAACTTCACGCAGTCTCTAACATTCCCTAGATGAGGAGCAAGTTCGTGGACATTATGACCGTGGTGACGATTTCTACGGTTGGTTCCTCGGCCCACGTATGATCTACACCTCTGGTATAATCGGCAATATCAACGAGGAGGAATCTCTCGAGCAGCTCCAGGACAACAAGCTCGCTATTGTATGTGAGAAGATCGGCCTCAAGCCCGGCGACACCGTGCTCGACCTTGGTTGCGGATGGGGTACTCTCGCCAAATACGCCTCCGTCCACTATGGCGCTCATGTCACCGGTATCACCCTTGGTCGCAACCAGACTGCCTGGGGTAACAAAGGTCTCCGCAAGTCCGGCATCGAAGAGTCCCAATCCCGCATTCTATGCATGGACTACCGTGACGCCCCCAGCGTGCCCGGCGGATACAAGAAAATCACCTGTCTCGAGATGGCCGAGCACGTCGGTGTCCGACACTTCTCCAGCTTCCTTCGACAGGTGTATGACATGCTTGATGACGATGGTGTCTTCTTCCTCCAGATCGCCGGTCTACGTAAATCATGGCAGTACGAGGATCTCATCTGGGGTCTGTTCATGAACAAGTACATCTTCCCTGGTGCTGACGCCAGTACCCCGCTTGGCTTCGTTACCGAGCGTCTTGAGGGTGCCGGCTTCGAGATCAAGGGCATCGATACCGTTGGTGTACACTACTCTGCCACGCTCTGGAGATGGTATAGGAACTGGATGGGCAACAGGGAGAAGGTCGAGGCCAAGTATGGCAAGAAGTGGTTCCGCGTAAGTACTACATAAGTTATCCCAACATATTCCACGCCATGATACTAACGAAGTGGCAGATCTGGGAATACTTCCTCGCTTACTCTACCATCACCTCCCGTCAAGGAGGTGCTACCTGCTGGCAAATCACCATGGTCAAGAACATCAACTCTACCCACCGTGTCGAGGGTATCCCAACCCAGTTCGGCCTCACCGGTGCCCGTGAAGCTAGCATCCAGCGCGTCGGCGGAGGAAAGCTGCTGACTGCTGACGTTGAGAAGGAGTAAAGAAACTGCACGTACATACGTTAACGGTTGAACCGCCATTTTTCTACGGAGTGGATGGGCGATGGCGGAGGTGGATTCGATAAAAAAAATAAGTTCCATGGCAGTCTGGGAGGAAAGGGGGAGGAGATAGCTTCATGCGGGTTTTTCTCGTTTGTCTTTGGTCTGGCCACTTAGATAAATAGTTACGTGCGTAGTCGATGGTTTAATCATAATGAGACACTGTTACCTTTCTTACTCTTTATTCTTTTTACATCTTGCTGTCTGTCTGGTAAAAAGAAATAAAAAAAAAGTCACTTCACTCTGTTTCGAACCAACAGCTCTTCTCTATCACGGCGACCTCGCACCTCCCAAAATGCCTTCGCAAAGAGTAAAAAAAAACTTGTAGCTTCTCTTTGATTGAGCGTGTCATCCTTAGTGCAGGGGCCATGCTAATCTTCTCTGTATCGTTACTATGACCAAATGCCCGAAGGCACAAGAAGGGAGGACGACTTGATATTTAAGGTGGTGTTTTTGAGTAAGCAGACATGCTGATTGGTTGGTGGTTTTGCTTAGGTAAGACAAGCTTATATAATATCTTATCGGAATATACATATCCCGATATCCCGGACCGGATCTCGTGGAAGAAGGATAATCCGGGTCAAGGATGACTAAGCTATGGCTACCCCGAAGCCGAGGTAAACGCCGAAAGAGGAAAAAAACGACGTCTTGAAGTTGTTAAAAGTTGATATAAAAACAACTTCAGACAGACAAGACGACATCATGGAGGATCGACGGTTTTAGTTGCTGGTCAAGACGATGTTGACGCAGTGAATGGCTTCTCCGGAGTTGTTAGACCCCCAAGTTTCCGATAGTGCGGCGTTACGCTAGTCAAGGCCGAGGTTCTCACGCTCCCCACAGTGTGGAGTGCGGCTGCTGTTGGCTTACCTATATCTTGGGGAGAACCTCCGGCTTCTTCTCTGCTTCTTCCCTCGCCCCCATCCGTCCAAGCAAGCTCTACAGCTCTAGAAGCAGCCATGCCTTATCCATCCCCTTACCCTCCAATCGACATCCCTGAAT